GTTAATGTAAATAATTCCATCGTTGGTATAAACATTTTTTGATGCAACTGAAGCGAAAAAAATGTGGGTTGTGGAACCACTCACCGAAGTTCCAAGAGAATCATCCACGAACTGCAAACGTTTTATGTTTCAGAATTGCACGGTAGACCTGGGTATCACCGAACACAGCGGTGGTTCAGAGCCTCACAGAGGTCCAAGCACGGCACCTACGGTGCGTCAACCACAAAAATTGCTGGGCCACATTTTAGTGCCGGAGTATTACCTGAACAAACGTTCCACGAACCGCGCGCGATATTCCCTTCTTCATTGTCCTATCCTCTCTTCCTTCGAACACACACAGACAAATAGATACGTATATCAAATCGTGAGAGATCGTGAGAAACAGAAGCCGAGCGTAGATTATGCATCATCTCCGTACCTCGCATGCATTTTCTTACCGTTTTTGTCGAAATAAATTAAGTTGGAGTAAAAAAACAAAAAGAAGGAAAGATCACATTCATTTAAAGGAGACAGATTTCATTCATTACAGTATGCACAAAATTTAATAGAGGGAGATCTTTTTTATTTTCAGTAAACACTGAGGACTTTTTTATCTTGTGTACATTATATCAGATTATTGCTATAGTGTTATATTAACTTTTAGGAATTTGAGCAAGATATGATAAACATTACTGTAATTTATTTATTTATTTTTATTATTTATTGTCTTATTTACGTCAAAGACAGTAAAAAACTGTGTATGACGTGATATGGGGAGATGTTAATTTGAAGTTACCTTTATGTCCGGAAGCAAAACAAGGGGCCATCTCAGCATTTGCTCGAGGATCAGGGAAACTGGACGAAAACCCGATCGAGATGGGGGTCATTGACCCAGAAGCTGAAGTACAATACTTGTTACAGGTTCTTTACAATTATACAATCAAAATGATATATAATACATTAAATGTAATTTTAAAAATTAATATTACTTTCCTTTTTGATGCTCAGTATAGTCTCTAATTGTATAGAAACTGTTGTGTAGCAGAAAATATTTTACTTGGGTCTTAATTTTTTGTATCGAATTTAATCGTTTAATGTCATCTGGCAAGGTGGTGTAAAATAATGTACATGTATTATATGTGAATTTTTTGTAGTGAGCTGTTGATACTGTTACCTGATGAATGTGATTACTACGTCGAGTGTTGTAGTTATAGACAACGGCGTTTGCTGAAAATATATTCCCGCCCTTAAGTAAGTCATTTTTGATAAAAATCACTGATTCATATATTAAGAGGCAAGGTAACGGTAAAATACCTAGATTAATAAACAGAGACTTACAAGAATCACGTGGGTGGGATTTGCTTATTGTACAATTCGTACAATTCGTTTTTGTAATCTAAAAGTCTGAGAGCTATAAGATGTATTTCTCCAGAATATTATGCCATATCTCAGGCGGGAATGAACATTCGCGAAATACACACAACGATCAGTGTGTAGGCTGACTGAATTTGAAAGAATTCTGGAAGCATAGCATAAAGAACTTAATTTAGTGTTCAATTTATTTAAATGAACGTTCTCTTGAAGGTTTGACTGAATTGAAAGACCTAAAAATTTTGTTACCTTAACATCAGTTAATGGCACGCCGTTTTGTTTTCAGTTGTGTCGAACTGTTTATTTAAAATGGAGAATTGCATTGAAACAGTTTTCTTTTTATTTACTATTAATTTGTTATTACGAAACCAATTTGAAATATCTGATATTGTACTGTTTACCGTTTCTTTATTGCAAACAATATTCGTTTCGTCCTCAAAGAAAACTGTTCTTCCGTTACTAGTCGTCGAGGGCATATCGTTTACGTATAGTAGGAAGAGAATAGGGCCTAAAATCGATTCCTGCGGAACTCCACATGCAATTGGCAAGAAAGGTGCGTACATAATGTTCCATTATTCCAGTAAGGTATTTCTACACTCTGAGATTGTTGTTTAAGGTACGAACATAACTAATCCAGAGCAACACCACAAATTCCATACGAAGGTAATTTTGATAGTAAAATGTTATGATCAATGACGTCGCGCCGTGTTTACTAAGAAATGGTTCCATTCATACGTAAAAAAGTCTCTCTAATATTTTTCAAAAACTGACAAAAGAGAAATTGGACGATAAATATGAATTTCATTTTTGTTGCCTTTTTTTGAAAAGCGGCTTAATCTTTGCTGTTTTAAAAATATCTGGAAAAATTCTTGAGCATAAGGATACATTATATATGTGAGTTAACGGGTGTATAATCGCGGGCGCGCAAGCCTTTTACAAACAATCCGTAAATTCATCTAAACTGGCCGAATATTTATTTTTTAGGATACCGATTATTTTCAGAATTTCATGGGAAGAAGTTTCGGAAACAAACATCGTGCCTAAATTTTTGGGGGAAATACCTGATGCTGAATTTTCCGGCTGAAGACCCTTACTGAGATCGGCAGCAATTCTCGAAAAGTATTGGTTAAACAGGCTAGCCACTTCTGCCGGATTGTTCACGTTTCTATCGTTATCTTTTAAAACAACATTCTCTACAAGGTTTCTGGTTGATTTGGCCAAATTTTTTACTATATTCCACATTGCTTTTGTTTTATTATTTGAGTTCAAAATATCCTGGTCATGTTTCATGATTTTAGCCAGCCATATGACTTTTCTTAACAATGATTTGTATTTTTTAAAGGTGAGGAGGAAACCTCACCTTTACGTTATGATGCTTAGAAATGAAAGAAAGAATTCGTTTTTTTACGTGATGACCTAATCTCTTGTGTTATCCAAGAATTGCTCTTCCGTGAAATATTTAATTTCCTCTTTTGAAGAGGAAAGCAAGTGTTAAAATGAAATGAAAGCGTTGAAAAACAATAATTGTATTTACCGTTTGTATCAACAGTGTTGTAAACCACGTCCCATGACTCTTACAGCAAGTAATTGATGAATAATTTTATTTTACTTTTAGTAAATAATCTACTCATACGTGCATTACTTATTGTGTCAGTGATCGCATTTCTTATAATGGTAAGAATTTGTGCATCGTGATTGCTGTGTCCTAAATCTTTTGTTTCAATGTCATATCGAGTAGTGGTTTTGTTAATTATTATTTGATCGATTGCCTTCTTTGAATTTAGTGTGATCCGTGTAGGCACATTTATTGTAATATGTAAACTGAATGAATTAATTAAATTGATAAATCGCTCTTTCTCGCAAGATTCGGCGAAAAAATCAATGTTAAAATCTCCACATATAACAATGGATTCAAAAGAGCGATTGGTGACTGTTTAGTGTTATCTCCAGTTTTTTTAAGAACATATTATAATCTTCTGCTCTCTTTGTTGGAGCTCTGTAGATGTAAAGTGACATAATTTTTAGCGTAGGAAGATATACCACAGATAATTGAAACACATTTTCAATGGAATACACTTTTAATTTCGTCAAGGAAATAGAATCGATATTATTTCGAACATAAATGCAAGAACCCCCTTATGCAGGACCTTTATGTAATTCCTTTTCTCTACAATAATAGCCTGTGAGGTAAAAGTTTGGAATTTGGAAAATGCTAAGATCATTATGAAATAACCAATGTTCTGTAAAGCAAAGAACATCCATTTGATTTAAATTGCTCTGTAGGGCTACTTCGATAAACTCAGTTTTATTTGAAAGGGATTGAACATTATGGTGCAGTATGTTTATCTTTTACAAGTACCACTACGGATGTTTATCTACTACATCTGACTGTAGTTGCTATATATTTACTCCTTTTTTACCTCGAGTGCGTGGTCGAAGGTTGTAGTGTGTCCCGGCAGTGACGCGTTGTGAGGAAACTGAGGCATCAGGTGTAGGAGAATTGGTGGTGGGAGTGGGAGTAACGGAAGAAGGATCAGAGGAGGAGGTAAGTGGGTTCGAAATATGGGTGGGGTGGATAACGTAAGGAAGGTGAAAGGGATGGATTTCTGGCAGGATACTGCGTAGGTCTGGAGTAGATGTGTTGTACAAGCTTGTTGCCGACTATGTTTTCCAGCAAGGTTCATGTGGAGACCATGCCGGGTGAAGTGTTTTGCTGAGAGGAAATTCATTTCAAACAGAGTAACATTTCTCTCAGTTGCAGTTTTAATTGTTGGTTTGCGTGCTTAATCTCGCTGCATAGTGTTGGTCTGTTGTACCAGAAGGGCAGAGTCGAGACTACAATGTTAGTGTTTTGGGCGGCACGTTGCAATTTGTGTACCTGTTCAGGTGTAAAGTCCCAAATTAATCCTATGATAATGACTGTGTCCTGATTGGTCAGAGTCTTTGTGGGGGTGTCCAAATCCAAATTGTTTGCAGTCACGTATGCAAACCTTCCGTTAGGTTTACTAATAGACGAGACGAGTAGTTGGAGGGTAACGTCCTACTGAGAACGGAGGAAAGATGGCGGCCATGGCTGTCAGCTAAGATAAGTTTTCTCGATATTCCATAGCTCGCAAGTTTTCTTGATATTCCATAGCGGGGGGTGGGGGGAGAGGAGGGCTCTGGCTTCGTCACCTCTTAAAAGGGCGTACCAACTGTAAGCATTAATTTTTTTTATATTTTAGTTTGTCTTCGCAATATCAAAAAAATAGCCGAAATCAGTTATTTCATTTGTATAATCTTCTAACATTATCACAAGCAAAATTTGAATGTTTCTTGACTTCAAGTTAGTCAGTTTTTGGTGCTAAAGAAATAGCACCATCACCTCACATAGCCAATTTAGTACACATACACTTCAACAGATTTTCTTGTATAATACGATATGTTAATAATTTCATTTGAAGAAAAATGTCAAAGTCAAATTGTTTTCAAAGAAAGAGGAAGTTAATATAAATATTACATAGGATTAAGATTGGTGTGAAATCTACAGAATAGATTCTACACTGTATAGATCTGCAACTTCTACAAAATGGAGTAAAAGACAAGACAGTGAGAATTTAATAAGCGCATCTCACCTAGTAGTAATTATTACGGGTCCTCATCAGTTGGCGATGCGAAGGGCCCTAAACTGCACTTGCTTGACGGACGAGTGCAGTCGCTCGCCCCAGAGGCAGCGGTGCTTGGGGGCCTTGCCCAGGCACTGCGCTCGGCCGCCACATCGTCGTTTGGGTCAGTCGAGGCTCCGCCGCCGCCGCGCACGCGCTGCCATGCCCTCGCCGCCCGTTGCCTCCGGATTCGCTGCCGTCGCCGCCGCAGCCGCCATCGTCTCCTTTGCCGCTGCAGACGGTCAGTACGTTTTGGTGTTTCTCATTCCTTCTGACATTGGCCTTGTTCTCGCGACAGAACTACATCTTATAACGCGCTGGGACGTACCGTTGCACACGTGTCATTTGGAAAACAAATAGCCCGTTTTCCGACCGATGTACTACGAACTCAGAGCATTGGGCACCTTCAATATAAATTGCTGCGCATCTGGGAAGTGGAGCTCCTAGGACTGCACTGTCGAATACCTTCCTGTTATGGTCGGGATATTTGCGACTGGTGTGAGGAGACTGGTGTTTTCCTAAAGAACCTCGTGATAAATTGAAAAAAAAAAGCGCAGAGAACATATTATTGTCGACAGAGGCGTCTAGGTATACACGCACCCATAACAAGCCTAGAAAGTGCGCCCCTGTCAGGATACTTCAAGTTAGGATTGTGATTAGTTTTAGCGGGTGTACTCTAAATAGCGCCCCTTATGAGGGGCAACTGCCATGTTTGCCATCGCCGAGGCCATGCTAGGTACCACCGCATGCCACGGCAGAGAAGACCGTATGACATAGAAGTACAGGATCAAAACCCCATCTCGATCAGGTTTTTGTCCACTTTCCCGGATCCATTGAGCAAATGCTGAAATGGCCCCTTGTTTTGCGTCTGGACGTAAATGTAGCTTCACTATGCGTTTTGTTGAACACTCCTTTTGCTTGTAATGGTAAGAGTAGAGGTAAGAGAAAGTTGCTATTTTGTTAGCAATGAAGAAAAATCATACTTGCAATTCGTGTACCGATGCAAATAAGTTTTCTATAGCCCAGAAACAAAAATGACTATTTTTCAAATATTGCTAATTTTGCGATTTTTAAAATGTATTTTTAAAATTTGTTTTATTTATTTATGTTAAGTTTTTACTCATCAATCAACTATTTATAGTTAAAATGACGGGAAGGGATTCTGGAACTCAAAAAAAGGTGAGCAGATAATCTTTCCCCCCTACGTCACATACAGTTTTTACTGTTTTATTGACTGAATAAATCTAAATCTAAACCTCTGGGTGAACTGGTGACCGCCGAGACCCCCCCC